GGCAAACTTGTATGGGTTCATGGCAAGACAATGATGTTCTAAAAATTCATGATATATTGTTTGAAATGTGATGTAAGAGAAGAATTTCATTCTCTTTAAGAAGTTTTGGATATAAATAGCACACATGCCAAGTATTTGCATCTTAAGTATAATCTTGCCGGAGTAAAGGATGCTAAAGTTGGAACGAATCCTTAATGGATACAACAACAACAAAGCCTTTTCCCACTAAGTGGGGTCGGCTATATGAATCCTAGAACGCTATTGCACTCGGTCCTGTGTCATGTCTTCCGTTAAATCCAAGTACTTTAAGTCTTTTTTTAAAGTCTCTTCCAAAATTTTCCTAGGTCTTCCTCTACCCCTTCGGCCCTGAACCTCTGTCCCATAGTCGCATCTTCTAACCGGAGCGTCAGTAGACCTTCTTTGCACATATCGAAACTACCGTAACCGATTTTCTCTCAGCTTTCCTTCAATTTCGGCTACTCCTACTTTACCTCGGATCTCCTCATTTCTAATCTTATCATTTCCCGTGTGCCCACACATCCAACGAAGCATCCTCATCTCCGCTACGCCCATTTTATGTATGTGTTGATGCTTCACCGCCCAACATTCTGTGCCATACAGTATTGCCGGCCTTATTGTTGTCCTATAAAATTTTCCCTTGAGCTTCAGTGGCATACGACGGTCGCACAACACGCCGGATGCACTCTTCCACTTCATCCATCCAGCTTGTATTCTATGGTTGAGATCTCCATCTAATTCTCCGTTCTTTTGCAAGATAGATCCTAGGTAGCGAAAACGGTCGCTCTTTGGTATTTCTTGATCTCCGATCCTCACCCCTAACTCGTTTTGGCCTCCATTTGCACTGAACTTGCACTCCATATATTCTGTCTTTGATCGGCTTAGGTGAAGACCTTTAGATTCCAACACTTCTCTCCAAAGGTTAAGCTTCGCATTTACCCCTTCCTGAGTTTCTTCTATCAACACTATATCGTTTGCGAAAAGCATACACCAAGGAATATCATCTTGAATATGTCCTGTTAACTCATCCATTACCAACGCAAAAAGGTAAGGACTTAAGGATGAGCCTTGATGTAATCCTACAATTATGGGGAAGCTTTCGGTTTGTCCTTCATGAGTTCTTACCGCAGTCTTTGCTCCATCATACATATCCTTTATAACTTGGATATATGCTACTCATACTCCTTTCTTCTCTAAAATCCTCCAAAGAATGTCTCTTGGGACCCTATCATACGCTTTCTCAAAATCTATAAAGACCATGTGTAACTCCTTTTTCTCATCTCTATATCTTTCCATCAATCTTCGTAAGAGATAGATTGCCTCCATGGTTGAGCACCCTGGCATGAACCCGAATTGGTTGTCTGAAACTCGTGTCTCTTGCCTTAATCTATGCTCAATGACTCTCTCCCAGAGCTTCATTGTATGACTCATTAGCTTAATACCCCTATAGTTCATGCAATTTTGTACATCGCCCTTATTCTTGTAGATAGGCACCAAAGTGCTCTTTCGCCACTCATTTGGCATCTTTTTCGTTTTCAAAATCCTATTGAAAAGGTCAGTGAGCCATGCTATACCTGTCTCTCCCAAGACTTTCCACACTTCGATTGGTATATCATTTGGGCCCACTGCTTTTCTATGCTTCATCTTTTTCAAAGCTACAACCACTTCTTTCTTCCTGATTCGACGGTAAAAGGAGTAGTTTCTACACTCTTCCGAGTTACTCAACTCCCCTAAAGAAGTACTTCTTTCATGTCCTTCATTGAAAAGATTATGAAAATAATCTCTCCATCTGTCTTTGACCGCGTTCTCTGTAGCAAGAACCTTTTCATCCTCATCCTTGATGCACCTCACTTGGTTTAGGTCCCTTGTCTTCTTTTCCCTTGCTCTAGCTAGTTTATAGATATTCAACTCTCCTTCTTTGGTATCTAGTCGCTTATACATATCGTCATAAGCTGCTAACTTAGCTTCTCTCACAGCTTTCTTCGCCTCTTGCTTCGCTTTTTTATACTTTTCACAATTTTCATTGGTCCTATCCTTGTATAAGGCTTTACAACATTCCTTCTTAGCCTTCACCTTTGTTTGTACCTCCTCATTCTACCACCAAGATTCCTTTTGGTGTGGAGCAAAGCCCTTGGACTCTCCTAATACCTCTTTTGCTACTTTTCGGATACAACTAGCCATGGAATCCCACCTTTGGCTAGCTCCCCCCTCTCTATCCCACATGCACTGGGTGATTACTTTCTCTTTGAAAATGACTTGTTTTTCTCCTTTTAGATTCCACTATCTAGTCCTTGGGCACTTCCAAGTCTTGTACTTTTTTCTCTCTTTTGATATGTACATCCATCACCAACAAGCGATGTTGATTAGCCAAGCTCTCTCCCGGTATAACTTTGCAATCCTTACAAGTTATACGATCCCCTTTCCTCATTAGAAGAAAATCTATTTGTGTTTTTTACGACCCACTCTTGTAGGTGATCACATGTTCTTCTCTCTTCTTAAAGAAAGTGTTGGCTAAGAAGAGATCATATGCCATTGCAAAATCCAAGATAGCTTCCCCATCCTCGTTTCTCTCCGCAAAACCATGGCCACCATGAAAACCTCCATAGTTGCCTGTCTCCTTGCCCACGTGTCCATTTAAATCTCCTCCTATAAATAACTTCTCCGTCTGAGCAATTCCTTGCACCAAGTCTCCAAGGTCTTCCCAAAATTTCTCCTTCAAACTCGTATCCAACCCTACTTGAGGTGCGTATGCACTAATTACATAGACGAGTTCTTGTCCTATTACAATCTTGATTGCCATGATTCTATCTCCTACCCTTTTGACATCTACAACATCTTGTGTCAAGGTCTTGTCCACGATGATGCCAACCCCGTTTCTTGTTCTATTTGTGCCTGAATACCAAAGTTTAAAACCTGAGTTTTCTAGATCCTTTGCCTTAAGACCAACCCACTTAGTTTATTGTAGGCGCATAATATTTATCCTTCTCCTCACCATAACTTCCACTACTTCCATAGATTTTCCCGTTAAGGTTCCTATATTTCACGTTCCTAAACGCATTCTACTCTCTTGAACTCTACCCTTCTGTCCTAACTTCTTCACCCTCCCCCGTTTAATAGGATCAAAGTACTTCTTTTGTGTGTCCTGTGTAAAGTTGATAGGAGCATATGCTCCCAAACAACTTTGAGTGGAGTCGTTCAAAAAGAAGTTTCTATGACCCCCTTGCTCATTTAACACTGCATCCGGGTGCCGATGGAGATACAGCGACCCTTACTCACTTATCATTGTGCTCGGGCCACACAGCGCGCCACTTACGGGTGACGCCCTAGCTTGCACAGGCGGAGTTCGAATCCTTAATGGATAAATAGAAAAAAAAAATCAAGTAACTAAACAGGAAAAATTTACATTCTGTTTTTGGTACATCAATATTCATATTTTTCAATTCATGTTAATCTGCTCTCCTCCCCTCCCCTCCTTCCATGCATTAGAGGTTTCAAGGAATAAAAACAAGATAATTTACACTTTCCTTTGTTCTCCTTGGTTATTTTATTGCTGTTTTAATACTCTTTTTTTTATTTTTTTTTCATGCTTCAGCCCACGCAGCAGCAAACACGATACAGAAAGTCTCCTTGTGCTCCAGCAGATGGTGAAGGTATTGCTAATCATTAGAACTTTGTAAAACCATTTCTGCAAATTAATTATTCTTTCCATATTTTCTCCCTAACATTTAAGAAAATAAAAAAAAAAAAGCAGAAAAGCCATTTACCTTGTTATACTACTTTACGTAGATGGAGGAAGTCCGGCTTCTGAGGATACAGTTGCGACTGAATGAAGGAGCTTTTGGTGTTTTGATCTTGTGAGAACCTCAGACTGTTATTGTGTTACCTACGTTGATGGGTAATATTCTGTCCTGACAACAAACTTGGTGAACATGCATTGCACCAACATTACTGCAGTTGAAACTAAGCCGTAACTTCTGGTGTTCCAAGTTTTGATGTGGGACGTTATTCTTTTCTTATTAACAATGATAGAGCAACTTACGAAATTCAAAAACCTAAACAAATTATTCACTTTTTCAGCATATTCTTTCTGCTCTACATGCAATTCTTGGGTGTCACCGGTTTTGTACAACCATGTCGTTCTCTCTCATCACACATGGTTGTATACCATAGTGACTAAAGCAGATTTCCTCTTTTTCTGCATTTTTTGTTATGAAGTAATTTCTACACCTCGTTTACCCTCATGCACTCCCTTTTTCTCGCTTTAGTATCGACTTGAGTCAATCAAGGCAGAATCAACGGACATAAACAAACTGAAGAGTGCAAGAGGACAAAAAGGGAGTGAAAATCACTTCCGCTTCTGTTTCTTTTTCTTGTTTTCACTAACTAGGTAGTTTCATAGTTGTCGACAAATAGGGATAGGGGCAGCCCCTTAATGTAATCTTTGGAAGTTAGCCGTTTTAGAAAGAAAACAAATTTGTGTTGCTGATATTGACATGAATGACAGAGGCTATATTGGTTAGGAGTACATTACGAAGACTAATATAGTTATGATTAGCAAGAGTGCTTAGTTGCGCAGTGCTGCGAGTTTTACGTATATTCGATGGGCAAGACCATTTTGCATACATGTGAAAATCTACTTACAACCTATTTACATTAAGAAACCATGGCATAGAATAATTTGTCCTCTTATAGAAATCATGACATGGTTTGTAATGAATTGGTGATAAGCTCTCGTATGTTAGTTGTTTTTGTTTGTATAGTGAAAGTGAGGACTTGAAGCATGACCAAATTAACACTTCTTTTTTCAATCATAAATTTCCTTGGTGACCACATTCAGGCTTCAAGACATACCATGCCTGGAATGTCCAGTTGGACACTCTAATCCATGGAAGAAAATGCCGATAATATCGGCGAAATATCGTCGATATTATCGGTTTTTCGGGTGATGGATATTCTAAGTGGTATCCGAATGGTTTTCGGCCAAATATCGGCGAAATTTTTTTGAGTTTGGTGCAATCGGACTCCGAGGCGACGTCGGAGAAGAACGCCGGAGACGGTGTGCCTATTCCCGGGCCGATTTCGTCCCAAAAACCTTGCAAAAACACGAATTTTAACATCAATTTCACATATAAACTTCAGATTTCACGCATGCATAAACGATTCAACATATGTGAAGTCGGTTTAGGGTTTAGGGTTTCAATGGAATCTCACCTGACGAAGACGAAGACGAACTAGATGACTGAACGTGATCCTTGCTCAGCGGCGCACCGCCAGAGACGACTGAGCCAACTCCGACTTCACCAGAGCCACGATCAACGGCGAAGGGAGAAGAGAGATCGAGAGATCTCTGTGTGTGTGTGTGTGTTTGGGAGAAGAGAGATCGGAGATCTCTCTTTGTATGTGGGTGTTTGGGAGAAGAGAGATCGGAGAAGGGAGAAGAGAGATCGGAGAATGGAGAAGAGAGATCTCCGATCTGTTGTGTGTGTGTGTGTGTGTGTTTGGGAGAAGAGAGATCTCCGATCTCTGTAGATGGAGGGTGTGTGCGTGTGTGTGTGTGGAATGAGGGAGAAGTGTGTGTGTGTTATCCGAGAGAAAGAAAAAAATACATTGAGGGTGTGTGTGTGTGTGTGTGTGTTTGTGGCACACGGTTTGACACATGGTTTTGTATAAAACCATGGTTTTGTGTGTGTGTGTGTTCACGTGTATGGTTATGTGTGTGTGTGTGTGTGTGTTATCCGAGAGAGTTTTGGCACATGGTTTTGTATAAAACCATGGTTTTGTGCGTGTGTGTGTGTGTGTGTGTGTATGGTTATGTGTGTGTGTGTGTGTTATCCGAGAGAAAAAGAAAAAAACTTTGAGGATGTGTGTGTGTGGCACACGGTTTTGTATGAAAGAATTGGAAGTGACTTTGCTCAGAAGAACCAAATATTCTGTCAGAGAAGACCAAAAAATCTGCTTACTTTATCTTCTTCTCCACGTGAAGACCAAATTCTGTCAGAGAAGAACCAAAAATGCAATGTATAAAGTGTAAAATATTGTACTAATTCATTATATATAAATGATTATGGTGTGTTTAGACTTCTTTCATTAATTACTACATATTTTCTACACTCACAATGTTTGTCAGCTCGCTATATAATCAACTTGATAATGTTAAATCCATCATGCAATGCATTTCCTTCCAATTTTTTGTGATAAACTAATAGATAATTGACTAAATAAACATCCTGCAAAGTTTCAATAAAAATTTCCAAGTTTTTCTTACAATTTCCGTGGTTTCCATGTAATTTTTATCGATATCGATATTATCCCGATATTTCCATCGATATTTCCGTGTTTTCGGACTACCGATATTTCCGATATTACCGATATTTTCTTCCTTGCTCTAATCAAGCTGTGTTGGCCGATACTTAGAAGGTGACGAAGTCATAAAGTGACGGTGATGTGGAAAGTGATATTAATTTAAACTTGAAGCAACTAATCCCAGAGTGCGCATGTGAGCGGGTTGAACCCTTAAATTGCAGTATTAAAGTAAAGAATGATTATACCGAAAGGGGAAACCTCATACATGATAGTGATTGTTAGAAATCCTCGCCACAAAAGCATTGCTACTAAGTCCTGGTGGGGAGGAAAACAAAAGTGTGCCTATAAAAATAAAGTTTTGTAAAACATTTTCGAAAAGTGTAACCCCTCGCATATATTTGTATCGTTGCATCGATCTCCGCAAGAGATAGATTGCCTCCACAGTTGAGCACCTCGACATGAACCCAAATTGATTGCTTGAGACTTGTGTCTCTTGCCTCAGTCTATGCTCAATTATTCTCTCTCAAAGCTTCATTCTATGACTCGTAACTTAATACCCTATAATTCATGCAATTTTGCACATCGCCATCGCCCATATTCTTGTATATACGTACCAAAGTGCTTTTTTGCCACTCATTTGGCGTGTTGTGTGACCGTCGTGTTGTGTGACCGTCGTAGGTCACTGAAGCTCAAGGGAAAATTTTATAGGACGACAATAAGGCCAGCGGTGCTGTATGGCACAGAATGTTGGGCGGTGAAGCATCAACACGTACACAAAATGGGTGTAGCGGAGATAAGGATGCTTCGTGGGATGTGTGGGCACATGAGAAAGGATAAGATTGTGAATGAGGATATCCGAGGTAAAGTAGGAGTAGCCGAAGTTGAAGGAAAGATGAGAGAAAATCGGTTATGGTGGTTTGGACATGTGCAAAGAAGGCTTACTGACGCTCCGGTTTGAAGATGTGACTACGGAACAGAGGTTCGGGGCCGAAGGGGTAGAGGAAGACCTAGGAAAACTTTGGAAGAGACCCTAAGAAAAGACTTAGAGTACTTGGATCTAACGGAGGACATGACACAAAACCGAGCGCAATGGCGTTCTAGGATTCATATAGCCGACCCCACTTAGTGGGAAAAGGCTTTGTTGTTGTTGTTGTTGTTGTTGTTGTTGTTGTATTTGGCAACTTCTACGTTTTCAAAATCTTATAGACAAAGTTTGTGAGCTATGTTATACCTATCTCTTCGAAGACCTTCCATACTTTGATCGGTATATCGTCAGACCCACTGCTTTACTATGCTTCAGGTTTTTCCAAGTTACAACCACTTCCTTTTTCTTGATTCGACAGTAGAAAGAGCAATTTTATACTCTTCCTAGTTACTCAACTCACCCAAAGAAATACTCCTATCATGTCCTTTATTGAAAAGGTTATGAAAATAAGTTATCCATCTGTCTTTTATTGCATTCTTCGTAGCTAGAACATTTTCATTCTCATCCTTGATGTACCTTACTTGGTTCAAGTCTATTGTCTTCCTTTCCCTTGCTCTAGTCAGTTTATAGATATTCAACTCTTCTTCTTTGGTATCTAATCGCTTACACAATATCTTCAAAAGCCGCTAGCTTCGATTCTCTCACAGTTCTCTTCGTCTCCTTCTTCGCAATTTTATACGTCTCACAGTTTTCATCAGTTCTATCATGTATAAGGCTTTACAACATTTCTCCGTAGCTTTAACCTTTTCATGTACCTCCTCCTTCCACGACCATGATTCCTCATTAAAAAGAAATCTATTTGTGTTTTTGATGACCCACTCTTGTAGGTGATAACATGATCCTCTCTCTTCTTAAAAAAGGTATTGGTAAAAAAGAGATTGTATGCCATTGCAAAATCCAAAATGGCTTCTCCCTCCTCATTTCTCTCTCAAAACCATGGGCACCATGGGAACCTCTAATTCCGCTCATAATCTTCCCAAAATTTGTTCTTAGGCTCCTATCCAACCCACTTGAAGTGCACGCACACTAATCAGATTAACGAGTTCTTGTCCTGTCACAATCTTGATTGCTATAATTTATCCTCAACCCTCTTAATATCTACAACATCTTTTGTTAGAGTTATCCACGGTGGTGCCAACATCATTTCTCGGTCTATTTGTCCCGAATACAAAAGCTTAGAACTTGAGTTTTCGAGATCCTTTGCCCTTAAGCTAAAATCATGTATTGTAAATCTTCCATATATAGTGAAATTGAAACACAAACACCATCTCTGTGGACGTAGCCGAATTGGCGAACCACTTAAATCTTATGTTTATGAATTCACATTTTGAGATAGTTGTCAAGTAAAGCACTCATACTCAAGTATCAAAGCTTCATCAATACACCCAAAGCCAGATCAAAATGAAGTAATGATATGAAATCCCATTAATAGACAACTGGAAACAACTAGAGTTTTATACCCCAAATGATCAAGGCATCCAACATAGTCTGTCTCGATCACCTCACTAGTCTCGGAAACGCCACCACCAAGAAGCAACAACAACTGCTACGCTTGGCCAGTCACACTCACCAATGGGAGCTATGGTGAACGACGACGATGTTGGGGTTAAGACTCAACCGAGCAAGCTATATTCCAACAGAATTGCTCTACGAAACCTCAAATGGGGTTATGCATCAATATCACCTAGAGAGGGATGAAGTAAAATGGTAAAGTAATATTTCTCAATTATATTGTTGTGTGTTATCAATACTTTGTTATTGATAATACAGTATAATTTTGGCTACTAACTATTTTGATTAGTATTGCAGATTCTATATAGAGCATGTAATTATTGATACATGGTATATACATGAGCATTCATGTAAAGCAAGAAAAAGAGTTGTGCTGCGTCAAGTGCTCACTTGTGTAAAGTGTTTGAGTTGTGAGGATATTCAAGGGTTGAAGTTTGCATTGAATGAAAGAATTATTACATTCTACCTATTATTTAATTGGTAGTTTTTGTTGTGAATTAATTTGTGCACTATTGTTATTTGGCTGCATATTCGATAAATTTTATGTAAGATTTTGTTATATTATGTGTGGTGTAATCGTTCAAATTATTTTATTTTCCACCATTTATTGGTTGTAGAATGTATTTCTATAGGTAAGATATGGCTCACACCCTAGCTCTTGAATGGTACTTATTTACGGATCGAGGTGTGACAAATGGTATCAGAGCTTAGGGATTAGATACCTAGGATAAAATGTTTGTTGAATACATAGACTCTAATTTTACATTCTGTGTAATGATTTCGAAAGTATTACGTTTGATTTTTATAGAGTAAGTTGGGATGGGACTTATGCCTAGATGGGTAGTTTCTTGTGAGCTAGACTTTGCTTTCGGACTCATATTATTGCACTGCAAAGATAAGGAAATGGTGATTCATTTCTTTTGGAATTTGAGTTTTGTTTCACAAAAACTTTAAGTGTTTTAACGGTGTTTCTTGATTTCAGTATGCTTATTTGTTTGATGATTTTATAAATATAATAACTACTGCAATTTATTCGGACTATATAATATTTTTTAGTAAGTTCATATGCAATTTTGATGGTGAAACGAATTCAGATGTAATTCATTCGTACTCACAAAGGAAAAAAGAAAGAAAAATGGTCATTGCGAAGTGAAATTCTCATTCCTACACGAGTTGGTAATGTCGATAATAATTCTCATTCCTATACAATTACGGGTTGTGTGATGAGCTAGTTATATCTCATTCCTACATAGTTTTGGACTATGTGATGAGATAAAATTTTAACACTACTACAATATAGGCTATCACCGGCGAAGCAAAAACCGACAATAAACCCAATTTCTGTCGGAAATTTGGCAAAAATCCGACATAAAACAATGTAATGTCGGATTGGAATAGCGACACTAATGCTAGCATCACGAAAGGGCTTCAGTGTCGGTTTTTACCCTTAATCCGCCACTACTCAGCGTCGGTTAAAAGCGACACTGATATTAACGTCACTTTAAAGCGACGTACACTTCAACATCACGTCGGTTTAAAGCGACGTTCATTAGCAATTTAATTATAAA